TTTGTGATATTTCTTTTTGATTCCGCAATGAAAGAGATATTTAAACGATTTACATTATACATATAGTAACAAAATCCCCTCGACATTTAACCGCAATAAACCACAACAGTCTGTGATAAATCGTCCAATATCAGTCATGTTGCCTTAATTCTTTATATTCTTCATTTTCAAAAAAAGGTATCAGCAAATTTTAACCGAATCTGGTAAAACATGTGTTCACCCGCTCAAATATTTTCTCTATTCGCTGTAAGTAAAATAATTTAGATCCGCCAAACAAAAGAGGGTGGAAATGTAGGTTATTTAAAGCAATCTAAAGGAATGTGGTGCAGATAATATATGCCATTGGTTAAACTGTTAAATTATTCTTTGGGTCGTTATCATTTTTTTTATAAAGGAAGATTTTAAACATAAATTACTTTTACTTTCTGTGTTGAATTTTCTTTACTTGAATTCTTATTGATGAGACACACACTCGAGAAAAAATGCGAAATATGTAGAAAAAAATGTCCTTGCTGGTGGAAATTTGAATCGTACATTCTTATATATCATATACCTAGTAGTGTATCAGCCCTGATGCAGGCATTTTGGACTTGGTGAGACAGCCCTCGGAAGTAGGGCTGTCTCGCCCTCAGGGCTGAGATATCTCTGTCTCGGCCCGTCGTCAAGGGGCTGTCTCGCCCTCAAATTTCAAATCATTATTTCTGTTTAATTTGTGTGAATTAAGAGTAAATTTCATATTTACGTATTAAAGAGAAACATTATATATCGAAAAATTAAACCAGAATTAAAAAAAAAAAATATTTATATTAGAATTTTGAGAAAATTGCTTTTAAAAAGTGCGCCAAATGATAGCACTTTTGACGTAAGAGAGGTAACTCTTGTTTACTTCTCGGACAGCAACAAATCATGTTTTGAACATAGGCACTCCCCATCTTAATTGTTAAAAAATATATATCTACTATACTATAAACAAAACAAGGCAAGAAACTAGCCTCCATTTTAGAATCAGCTTAGGGGCATTTTCTGGCTAAAAGCGAGAATTTCTCGCCAAAGTCGGGTCTTTCTCAGACATCGGGAGCTCTCATTTATTGAAATAAAATCTAATCGGGCTGAATCTTGCAGTATGTTCGCCGCATTCACGCGTTTTCCAACATTTCTCTGCAAGTCACTTTTCCTCGAAGTTGAGAGTTTCGCCGATTTTAGACAATTCGATCGTCGTTTACTTTCATAGACGTTTCGAAAACCCAAGAATGTCTTGGCGGATGATTTGAATTGCGAATTATAATACGGTTAGTATTTCGCGAAGTTTTTGAAATGTCTTCTGAAAAAAAGAAATACACACAGTGGTAAGCATTTTTGTCGTTAAATAAAATGTAGTATAAGAGGACATACTGTAATATAAAATTTTACAGTGAATTAGGATCCATAAGAAATTTCTGAATAGGGATAATTTATGGGTATTCAATGATACTTTCCAAACTTAAACGTGTATGTGTGAGTAAATTAAGTATTAAAAAGAGCACATGCCTTGTTGGGGGGATTAGGATACTTAGTGCTACGGATTTTACTAAAATGATAAGACCAAGAAAGGGGCTGAATTAAAAAAAAACATACTAGACATAATAATGCAATGACATTCTTAATATAAATGTTTATTTGTTTGTTGAACAAAATTATATCAAGTTTGTTTCTTTAATGAAACAAAGATTAAATAGAAGGGAAGCAGATTGAGTCGGGTACCACCCCACCCCCCATTTTTGTGTGTACATACGTTAAGCTGAAAATGACTCTTCTTAAGACTGTTTTCCTAAATTTTATATGTACATTACTCAAACAACTATTCTCTTATAGTAAGTTTTTAAGACTATAAACATAGGCGTCGGAAGCAAATAGTAGAAAGTGTGGGGGGGGCTAAACCAACAAAAAAGGTACCTGGTAAACCCCAATTTTCAATACATAGAAAATTTCTATCTTTGCAAATAAAGTGACTTATCCCCCCCCCCCCCCCGCGGGTTCCGACGCCTAAGATAAAAGAACTATGTACAATCAAAATTGCTTGACCATATTTATTTTTTGACTAATGTAAAGGTGGTAGATCTATTACGACATTTAAAAAAAAAAAAAAAAAAAAAAAAAAAAACAAAAAAAAAAAAAACAAGCAAACACCAGCAAAAAAAAAAAGACAAAATGTCTCAAAATATCTTATAGTCAGAATGTACTTTGTAAGCATAATTCACAGTACATCTGTATTGAATTAGCAGAAGTTAGCAATGCTTAATTAAGGATGGAACACTGATTATTGTATATGCCTTACCAGACCCAGCTTGCCCAGTTAAAATAAGGTTATGCCCTGCTTTTACTATTTTAATGGTCATACTTTGCTCCTCGTTCAATCTGAGTTTTTATCTACCAAAAACGTCAAATTTCCCACGAAACGTCTATGAAAGTCAACGACGATCGAATTGTCTAAAATCGGCGAAACTCTCAACTTCCGGCCGAGGAAAAGTGATTTGCAGAGAAATGTTGGAAAACGCGTGAATGCGGCGAACATACTGCAAGATTCAGCCCGATTAGATTTTATTTCAATAAATGAGAGCTCCCGATGTCTGAGAAAGACCCGACTTTGGCGAGAAATTCTCGCTATTAGCCAGAAAATGCCCCTAAGCGGATTCTAACATGGAGGCTTGCCTTGTTTTGTTTATAGTATAGTAGAGATATATTTTATAACAATTTAGATGGGGAGTGCCTATGGTTTTGAAAAAAAAAATGGACGTTTATTTGCTTTGACAGTAAGACAATACAAAATTTTCATGTAATGTGCCATTTTAATTTAATATATACCGTAAACATTACAAACAGTTTATACTATAAATTTCAGATTTACAAATTGTAACGTTCGTTGAAGAAGTTGTAACCCCGGTTCGATCCAAAGTGAAAGTAGAATATGTTTTTTTTTTAAAATTTTTGATATTTTTAAACCTTTGTTATCTAATGTGCTTCGAAGTGAAATGTTTTAAAACACCAGGACTATTATTTTTTAATGACTAGACCAAGTAAATCTTTCTCTTTATGATAATTCGCCGTCAAGCAACATCTCCTGGAACAACGAAATAAAGAAAGATAACTCTAATTTTGTTACGACTTTTTTGATTGAAAAATATCAAAATATTTGTTTGTGTTTCTTTGGTTTTAGATATATGATATAAACAACATCACACCACTGTTTTGATCTCGTCCCTGGTATCAGCCCTCGGATGGTCTCGGCCCGCGCCCTCCGGGCTTGGGCCGATACCAACCGCTCGGGCTGATACCAGGGCCGAGATCAAAACAGCAGTGTGATATTCTACCGTATATTTATTGAATGAGATTGAGGGCAACGTGCGCTTTGTCGGACCCAAGAACCAAACTGTCTGCCTGAAGCCGTTAGGCTGAAGGCAGACAGTTTGGTTTCAATGCATGTCAACAAAACGCATTTTGCCCAAGAACATAGTCAATAAATGTTTTGTTGAACCTTTCGTTTTATTTATTTTTTTTTTGACAAACATGTATTTTGTACCGCCTTCAATGATGTAACCTCAGGACCGTCATGCACTTTTGAACACCATAGAATGAAAATGAGTTAAGCTCCGTCCATTCTGTGACGTACAGTAAGCTGTCAAACATGTCATCGACCAGTCCAACATCTCACTCAGCGGTCCAACATCGATTTTTTATGCCCGCTCAGTAAAAACAGAAATGTTAGACTTTTTTGGTATAGATTTGTATAGTAACATATTTTGAAGGTGTAGCCATTACATATATAAAATGCCTGTGAAAACATAAATCTTTATTTAATTATATACAAAAGTACATTTATTTTTTTATATATATAACACAGTTCAATGCTATAAACTAATACTTTTTGTTATACCTTTAAAAATTTGTTCTTATACAAATCTATATAAGAAAAAAAGGCTAACATTTCTATTTTTTCCTGATCGGGCATAAAAAAATCGATATGGACCGCTGAGCGAGATGTTGGACCGGTCGATGATATGTTGGACCGCTTTAGTCACAGAATGGGTGGAGCTTAATCTCACTTTCATCGAAGGTGTTCGACAGTGACTGACTTACATTACGAAAGACAGTATAAGATACATGTATGGGAAAAAATAAATGAAATGAAAGGTATAACAAAACATTTATTGACTGAGTTCTCGGGCAAATGCGTTTTGTCGACCTTCGAACTAAACTGTCTGCCTTCGCCCTAACGGCCTCAGGCAGACAGTTTGGTTCTTGGGTCCGACAAAACGCATGTTGCGCTCGAAGTCAGTCAATAATATATAATATTAAAACAAATTTTGATACTCAAAAAACAATAGTAAATTATAAGGTCACAGGGAAGGTCCAGGTAAAGAGGAGGGGGACTGGTGAACAGCAGTGCTAAAGTTACTCAGGTGATCTTATTTTTCAAAAGGCCATCTTCTACTAAAATGTTTGTTTGCCCTCTCTTCTAATGACCAAATCATACCTTTAAATGTTTTATTTTTGTCCTAAAAATGATTTCTATTTGACAAAACAGGCTTGGATGCATGTTATTTGGTGAAACATTCTCATAAATAACCTTTTCTTTACCTGGACCTTCCCAATGACCTTGGACTTTACTATTACATGTATTATACATATTGAGTGTGCGAGCGGATCTAACACCTAATTTTAATACACAATAAGAGTATGCGAGCTGATCGATTTAACGTCTAATTTTAATTAGAAAGAGGATTCCCTAAAATTACAGATTCTGAAGTATATTTCTAAATTAGAAAAATATACAAAAGGAATTGAAAACAATTAGACAGTTTTTTTTTCTATTTGTTAATCAAAGCAAAAGGAGATAAGACATAGGTATGTTTTTGCCGTTAATGTTTCACCGTTTGGCACACATGACCGACCATTAGGCGCCTACTTCGGCTTGATATTTTAAAGACACGAAGTGCTCTCCATACAGTGTACGAACATCAAGACAAAACGAAAGTAAAACCTTCCCAGAGCGCGGTAAGTGTTGAGGTTCTTGGAAATGCGATAAATTAAAAAAAAACCTTGTGTGAGAAGGAAAAGTAAAAGCTCATCCCACCCTCTTTATATAGGCTACTGATTGTTTGAAAAGTGACCTGCTCTCGGAAAGTACTAGTAAACAGGTAAAAAAGGGTACATGTAATTTGGACTGAAGCCCTTTTGTGTAAATCATGTAAATATTGAAATTTCAGTCAACACTTTTCAAAAGCATATTGTTCGTACATTTTGCAACGAATACTTCTAATTGCAAATTCTAAGTGAAAAAGTTGGTCGAGATGGAATTTTTGTAAGATGAGATACATGTTTTATTGTGCGTAACCCATTGGCCGGTTAGTTTTCTATTGTGAGGTTAATCTGTTACATAGGCCTATATCCTATGCTTTATTATATGATTTATATGACTTTGCGATGTTAAAAAAAAGAAAATTTTTGACTAACCCTGCAAGATTTTTATGCGCCCGGATCGATAGATCCAGGGCGTATATTGTTTTTGTCCTGTCTGTCTGTTTGTTTGTTTGTCCCGAACTTTAACATTCACCATAACTTTTGAACCATGAAAGATAGAGACTTCATATTTGGTATGCATACTCCACTAATTAAGCTTTTTCAAATAACACAAAGGTCAATGACGTTTTGACCTTGACTGTGGCCTATATGCTAAAAATAGCTTTTTTCCTGCAAACTTTAACCTTCGCCATGCCATAACTTTTGAACCATGAAAGATAGAGTCTTCATATTTGGTATGCAAACTCCATTAATCAAGTTCTTTCAAATGACACCAAGGTCAATGACCTTGTGACCTTGACTCTGACCTTAATGCTAAAATTAGCTTTTCCCGAACTTTGTTGCTGCCGGGCGCATAGTGTTTCACAAACACATCTTGTTTCTAATTAATATGATATGGGACTATGTATAGTATTGTCGTGATCAAGGAACCTCTAAATATGAAATTCACCCCATTCTGACAATCTGTACATGGGCAGTCGCGGATCAGGAAATGAAACTAGAGGGGGCGCCCAAAGTAGGCAGGGGGTCTGGGGGTCGCTCTGAGGTACCCTGTGGTTAAATATGATATAGGGTGGTCCGATAAAATCGTGGAGAAGTTGTCTAGTTTGGAAAATAATCATCACTGCGTTCTGAAATTTTCACTATTCTTTAGTCATTATACTAGGAATATATATATAGCATATTTCAAATAGATATAATTATGCATAAAAGTTAGATAAGTCCCACTTAAATTTAGAAATTTCATTGCTTCACATACTTGATCTCCATAAACAGTTGATGAACCAATCTGGCACACACATGCGATCTTCTCAAGATTAAATAGTAAGTTACGGACAGTATTCTCAGTTTCTCACCGTCATTCAACTAATAGAAAATACCGGTATTATATCGACGATCGACATTAACAACGTCTTTTGCTATTACAATAGCAGTTTGTTTGGTACTACCAGGGGGCTCGATCAAAAAGACTTCGCTAACTAGAGAAAACTCCCATTTCATCTTTTAATACATGTCTGATGATATTTTAAATATTTTTTCTTCTGTATTCATTTAGAGAAATTATTTAAAGGGTCATTACAACATCTAAATGAACCAGAACTGCTCTCCGGTGCGCCGTAGCGTCATAAAACGTCGCCATTTTTCGTGTATTTACCACTTTCCATTTCGAATGCTCGGGTAACTGCCAAAAATTAACCAAATGCATTGAAACTTTTAAAAAGACGACAAAATTGATTGTGAAATCGAATTAGGATAATTTTCATCCCAATCTTATGTATTTAGAACTTTTATATCGAATTAATACTTGTGTATTTTCTAATATAACGTTGGGTTTTTACCGTGCGCCGTAGGACCGTACCCTGTACACATTTATGCATAATAAAGTTTTTTGTCTGTATATTATTTTAAAAAATATGATGTACTTAACTATGATAAATAAACATTTACTGAAAATTTCATCTAAGTGCGCCCATTACCCTCGTACATGTATATAATTATAGATTTTCTTATTCGATATGGTACAGTGGCGTGCCAAAAGGGAAGATAATTTTCTCTTCTTTCTCTCGTATTAGCTATATTATTAATAAAATGTTTGGATTTGATAATAAATAATTACACTGTCATGTCCAAAATTTACGGAACTCGGACTCAAATATCAGGCATTTACATGTAATTTGAGTAGCTTCTGTTTGTACATATGGTACTTATTTAGGATATCTGGTACTAAAAGTGAAAAACAAAATAGATTGTACTAGTAAACATGATATACCTCTATAACGAAGAAGACACTTTGTTGTTGATATAAACGTGTACTTTTTAGTTTTACCCGTGAAATGGTGAAACAATAGCTGCTGCAATATGTTGCCGGACTTCATTTTAGAATACGGTTTATACCTACATATGTAAATAATAATTCATCAACCAAAATGAATTTCATTTAAATGGGAATACAAAAAAAAAATGTTAATGTAAAGGGAAATGCATATAGGCGAAATTTTGCGATAGAAGAGGACTAGATATGATACATTTACATATTGAAGATAGTGCACATTTCGAATTTCATGTGTTTATTTGATTCAATAAATTTCATTTAATCTGTATATTAAAACATCGTGAGAGTAAATAAGTATTCATTCGATTCTTCAGTATAATATGAACTAGAAAAAAAATTATAAAATAAAGAAGTAAAAAAAATATCACTTTTATTAGTTGTAAACTCGGAAGTATGACGGAACTTCTGGACCGGAAATACAGAGATCAGTTAGGGACTTGGATAGGAAAGACCTGTCACTTCCGGTTATTGTACAAGATCAGTAGAGATGGATGTTCAGCCACAACATTCCATCAGAAGTGTGATGGTCAGGGACCCACAGTGACGGTTCTATACAACACTAACAACACGATATACGGGGGGTACCTCTCACAGAGCTGGAATTCTACTTGCTCATATTTGAATGATCCAAATGCATTTCTTTTCCGTCTGCAGTACAACGGGTCTTCAAACCCATTAAAGTGTGCTGTCACCAAGACAGGTTACGCTGGATATGGACATAACAACTATGGACCGACGTTTGGTGGTGGGCATGATATCCACACGTTTAGTGGAACCATCAACTCGTCTGGAAATTATTTTTCATTAAACGGATATCTCCACGGCTTGGGGAATTCCTACAATTTAAATGGTCAAAACATTGATTCTATTACTAACAATAGCCTTCAAGTGACGGATCTAGAAGTGTATCTTGTAAAAGGTGATTCTTTAAAGTAAAATTACAATAAAGTTAACTCTATGTATTAAAAACATTTAAACACTCGGATAATTTTTTAGTGACGCATAAGTAAACAGTAAACCAGAATTTTAAAAATGTAATTTATTTTGCATGTCTTTAATTTTTAAACACTAGCAATAATTTGCTCTCGAACATGTACGATATATATATATATACTTAGAGTCAGTCGGCTGGGACGATGTATCGAGATATCGATATATCGTGATATCTGTGAGGACGATACGCATATTGATTCATATGAAGAAATATCGAAATATCGCCCAAAAAATCTGACTTCTGTTTTTCTTTGTTTATTTTACATTTGGGGTTTAGTGCATAAAATAAATAAGCTAAATATAAAAAAAAGATATTTATAAATACTAATTAACACCATTTGAGTCAAATATTTTTTTTCACAATATATAAAGAACTTTTTAAAATAAATTATTCTTATTTGCAAAGAAATAATTTGTTTATTTCAATGCAAAAAAAAAGATTTTATAAGCAAGTAAACATATCGTGATACATATTGTATCGATCGTGGCTCAAATATCGTGATTCGTATCGATATAGAAAAAGTTGTATCGTCCCAGCCCTAAGAGTCAGAGACATGTCTCTTAAAATAATAATTTAAAAAAAAAAATCAATAAAAAAAGAAATTAATCAAATTTTCTTTTGAAGACGGCCCTGACCCAAACAAGTCAATAATGGATTCAGAACTTCTGGAGAACCCTTGGAGAAAATTTCCAGACTTTGATGTAAAGGTATTACATTCACTGTTTTATATCAGCCATGCTGCTCAAAGTCGTCACTTAGTCGACCACTTATGTAAACGATAAATATATAAACAATACACCTTTCATGTTTTAGGCTACATTTCTTGATTTGTAATAATCTCTTTGTTATTGCAGCCCGGAGGACCGGGCTGCTCTATACATATAAGTTTAATTGATGGTGTATAGGGATTGAGGTGGGAGAAGTTATTAATCAAAGTACTGAAAGCACTCGTGGGAGTTGAACATGGTGTGAAATCGGGATTTCCGTCCATCTGTTTGTTACGCTTTAGGTATACCCTTCTCTTACCGCAACTCCTCTTAAACCACTGAACGAAATTTTCATAGAATCTTTATTACATATTGCCGTCGTGCTTCTTCTATTACTTTTTCATCCTACACATATTTTGGGTTTCCCATTGCAAAACATGGACACTGCCATTATATTCATATAAGAGGCAGTTGATCATTTATATAATTCACTGCTCACGGCTACAAATTTGTAATATATTTTTCTTATGCACCTTTACCATTTGTTATGAAAATTTCAATTTCGCAGGAATAATACCAATGTTGATAAAATGTGGATTTTAACACAGCATCCTTTTAAGAGCTAACAGGTTGGTTATATAAATCTTCTCTGTGAATATAAATGTATTTCAATTACACAAACATTATATATGGAGTACGTCAGAACTTATCTTTTTTTAATATTGTGAAAAAAATGCAATACCAAGTTAAAACAAATATATATTGACAAAACATAAAAAAAACAGTGGTATATGTGAGAGTTTGTGTGCGTACAAATTATCTGGTATGCAAATGAGGTTTTCCTTTCATTAAAAAAATATATACTTCATTTTTTTGTTTTTAATCGCGATTTTACGAAAACATCGGTGTCCATTTTTGGTTTTAACATTTGCAACAAAGTACTAGTTTTACCACTTTTGGCAGGTGATACTGCTGATTTAGTAATGAATACGCATGTTTCCTAAAGTTTTTATGCATTAATGAATTCATTTAAACCAAGAAAATGTTCATGAAAAGGTTGAATAAATTCTGTGCACCGGTAAAAAAGAAATTGCTAAAAATCCGGGACCGTCGGGCGTCGAGAAGACTAGATTTATCGCTTGCTATCAGTATGTAGAGTTGTCGTTCGTATCTCTTTCATTGTAGGACGCTACACTAAAAATGAGTTCCATTACAAAAACTTTCGAGGTTCTTTGTAATTTAGTTTTACTTTGAACGAAATCTAATATTCAAAATAAGATTACTTTATCATTACATTTACTTATATTATGAAAATTAGATCAATTCAGGAGAAAATGACATGAACTATTTGTGGCGGATGTTTAATGCATGTTTTCTGTTGAATATCGTAGGAGTAAATCAGCCGACACAGTAGCCTCGCTTTCAGCTCTATATAATCAACACAAATTACTGCGCATGTTAAATACGTGATGCCCATGGGAGATTGAACATAGTTCAACTCCCAAAAATTAAAGGTTTTCTAAACATTAAAAAGATTGTAAATCAGAATGTTCTTTCTCTTTATAAATAACGAGATATTCAATATATTTACTTCCATATAAAGTGAATCTGTAAAATATATGTTTTTCATATTTAATATATAAAGTTGCTTATCATTTACTATCGAAAAAAAACGACAGGTCCCCTTTTTTAGAACATTGAATTTAACATCGCATAAAAACGTACTTAACTTTGTTTAAATGTTTACACAGTTCGTGTTTTTATTCTTAAAGTAAAATGCATTTTTGAAAATAGGTGATGCATGTGTCTGGTTTCAATTTATATTTTATGCAGCCAACATTTACTTGAGGAATTGATAAAGTGTAAAAGGGTATTGCTTTTCATCTATTATCATCCGACAATAAGTTTTCAAAATATTCTAGACTATATTATTGTCTCCATCCTTTTCACACATATCGAAGCGTTTTGATGATCAAGACTCATTTTCATTGTTAACTTTTTTTTATTTCCCGGGCGACAATTGATGTTAACATCAACGTTTTCTTGTCATTTATTTATACTTATTTGAACAGACAGTGCAGCAGCTAAAGGAGGCAGTTGTGGAATATGAACCTGAAAGTGAGGCCAATGTGACTGCAGTAAACATTCTTCTGATTGGTCAGATCGGAGCGGGAAAATCAAGCTTTTTTAACTCGGTCAACTCCATTTTCCGCGATAAAATAACCAGTAAGGCTCGGAGTGGAAGCTTTGAGCACAGTCTTACTACAGTGGTAAGATTCATTATAATCCCTATACTCAATACTCAGGATAAAAAAAAAACAAAACAAACAGTATAGACACAAACATGTCCTAAAACTGAAACATTTCAAACAAAATCAGAAATAATATTCTAAGTTAAATACTAAAAAAAGTTTGCTATTAAAAAAATTAGTTGATGCATATTTATTCTAACCATTACTTGAGCTTGTATACAAAAGACTACAGGTCAAAATTAAAATATTTTATTATTGAAGTTTCGGAAGTACACCATCAAGGACCAGAACTCTGGACATAACCTGAAGATCCGCCTGTGTGATACCCGGGGTCTGGAGGAGGACTTTACAATAGACGCCCAGGAGATGGCTTACATACTGGACGGAAACGTACCGGACAGGTACCAGGTATGATACAAATATAAAAAGATACCAATAGACGCTCAGGAGATAGCTTATATACTGGACAGTAACGTACCAGACAGGTACCAGGTACGATATAAATATAAAAAGGTAGACGCTCAAAAGATAGCTTAGATACTGCATGAATGGCAACGTACCGGACAGGTACCAGGTGTTTTACAAATAAATATAAAAAAACTAGAGCAAAGCTCTTTGCAAAGCAACGAATAGGTCTTCCGTCTGGTTTTGACTGGAAGTGCCGGAAGTGACATCAGAAAAAGAAAGCAATGAGCTAAGTCTTCTCCAGTGACTTTATAATTTCAATTTTGAATCGAAACCTTCAAAATAAGCTATTTTTGGCTACTTCCGGTTTGACCGGTTGGGCCAGAAAAGCTGAAACTTATGTGGAAGCATCCTTTGGTAGTATAAATTCTAAATTGTTTAAATCATGACCCCCGGGGGTTGGGCGGGGCCACAATCGGGAATCAAAGTTTTACATAGAAATACATAAGAAAAATCTTTTAAAAAATCTTCTTCTAAAGAACTACTGGGCCGGGAAAGCTGAAACTTATGTGGAAGCATCCGGGGGTAGTATAAATTCTAAATTGTTCAAATCATGACCCCCGGGAGTTGGGCGGGGCCACAATCGGGAATCATAGTTTAAAATAGAAAGATATAGGAAAAATCTTTTAAAAATCTTCTTCTAAAGAATTACTGCTCCAGATTAGCTGAAACTTATATGGAAGCATCCTTGGGTAGTGTAGATTCTAAATTTTTCAAATCATGACCCCCAGGGGTAGGCCGGGGCCACAAAAGGGAATTTGAATTGTCCAAATTAAGACCCTTGGGGTTCGATGGGGTCATAATAGGTATTACAAGGGGGAAATCTGGTTTAGAATCACATGGTCAAAACTTCTCAGGTGAGCGATGTGGCCCACGGGCCTCTTGTTTGTTTTAAAGTACGGTTAATTGAACTATTATGTTTCCATTGAAACAACTATCTTGACAACTTGGAAATGGGTTTTAGATATATACTTTCCAAGGGCCAAAGAGCTAAATCCACGTATTTTTATTTTGTTCGAGGGATGTGGCCACATCGAAATTTTAACTTTTCTTTCGATTAAAATCTCTAAGCACCGATATCCACAGTTCAAATAATGGGGGTTTACCCACATTAATTGAAAAGAAACAAGATTCTTTATTGCTTTTGTGAATATTAATTAGTTTTTAAATGTAAATGTTCAATTTATAATAGGACATTTCGTGTTATAGTGCAAAAGACGTCCGAAGTCTCTAAAAGCACGACTGCATAAAAATAGGCCTGCATCGGAACCGGGGGGGGGGGCACTTTTTTGCAAAATTAGACATTATATAGGCATTAAAAATTGGGATTTACCTTTTTTGTTGGTTTACCCCCCCCCCCCTTCCGATTAGCACCGACGCCCATAATCAAGATTCAATATAATGTCGACTTATCGTACCTCATTCCTAACCCAAGACTTTTTAGTAAAGCAGCTGGTCTACGTTTAACTAATCATTGCATGATTTTGCCTAAATGTTTTTAAAAATTGGATACTCTATCCCTCCAATATTATTTTTAAAAAATTATTTTACTACAATGTTAACATATGTTTTATCTCCCGATCCCGTTTCCTCGTCTCCATGGTCACTATGTAATCAAAGGGAGATCACCCGAGAAACTTGATTTTCTCCTGCGTGACTAAGTCGGTATTTTTAATATAAAAGTTACATCGGATGCAACTACCAGGATATATATATATATATATATATATATATATATATATATATATATATATATATATATATATATATATATATATATATATATATATATATATATATCTGCTTTCTACATAAGGGGTACCAGACATAATATTCTGCCTTAAGGGGACATTTTGTATATTTTTTAATCTTTTACTTTGTGATGTTTTAAGCGCAAATTTATATAAAACAAAGAACAATTTTGAGTTTTTCACAATGAAAATTAAGAAAACATTAGTTTTTAAAAATATATATAATTTGGTGTCCCCCTAATATTTAAAAACCATATTGTATGCCTTAAGGGGACATATGCAATATATATACCTTAGGGAGACATATGCAATATATATACATTAGGGAGACATTTGCAATATATATACCTTAGGGAGACATATGCAATATATATACATTAGGGAGACATTTGCAATATATATACCTTAGGGAGACATATGCAATATATATACATTAGGGAGACATTTGCAATATATATACCTTAAGGACACATATGCATTATATATGCATTTGGGAGACATTTGAAATATATATATACCTTGGGTAGACATATGCAATATATACCTTAAGGAGACGAATGCAATGTTTATACATCTTAAGTAGACCGTATATATATTTACAAGTATGGATACATTCAACCTTAGGGAACCCAAGTTATTTTCTTATCAAAATATACTGATTTCGGCCAAAAATATCTTGCATTTTTAAATATCAAGATTTGTAGACGTTATGTATAGAAACAAATAATTCTTATACTATAATATTTTATATTTAACAACACACCTCTCCATCCTCCCCCTTTCTCTCTTTCTGGTAACATTCTTTTAACAGCATAACATGTAATATTTTTTGGCTTTGATCTGTTGAAAACTATCCCATGTTTCCCACTATTGTTGATGTCCCTGGCATACTCTAAAAACTAAACTTACTGTGATTCCATATATTTCCATTTAATTGTGAAGTAAAATTGTAGACTTAAAAATTAAGAATATAGACTATTCGATTTAAATTACACGACGACTTCCATGCCAATTTCATTAGTCCTCGCACACTGATGTCAAACACAAAGGCAGCCGCACGAGATTTACATGCATATTTGGCTTCCTTTAGCGTCAGACAGAGAGACAAATGTTCACGAGATTTGCATGCGTATAACGCCTACTTACCTGCTGACCTATCGACCTACCTAATTTACATGTCGGCAGAATTATCAAGAATATACTCCCAAAACTTTCAAAGAGATATCACAGAGAAAAAAATTAGAAATGGAAATATAAGTCAATTATCACCTGTTTTTTATTCCATGCACTGACTATTAGCATTAAATTTTAGACCACTTTCCATTTCTGTGCCAAGTAGGCAATTCTTCATTTCATTTGTCTAATGTTAGATAACTTCAATTGCGTAAACATGGTCGATATAAACGAACTTTGAAAAGAAAATTTATTTTTCAAAGTGAGTTAGCTTGGTCCCAATTTTTTTCATAGTGCGTTATAACAGTGTGTCCACGGATTACGCCAATATTTAGTCGGGCTTAAATTGCGTTTTCGTACAAACAATATCTTCAGTCTCAGGACTAAGTACAGTCGTTTGACCAGTTCCGGATTTTGGCCAGTTCCGAATAATTACTAATGTAAGGACTGATTTTTAATAAATTCAACGATGTAAAAATATTTTTTTTTAATGGTAAGAAGGCTTATTTATTAGCGTTTGAATTATGCAAAGTTTTGATTATTTACCCTCGGTTAAGTCTCATTATCGTCCTCGAAACAGTCGACATACTTTTACAACGCATCAAACGTGAATCACCGCGACGCGCAAGTCTGAAGAAAAATCTCTGTAGATTTATAATTTTTTCAAATAAAACCACGTTCCAGGTATCAAAAGTAAGTTTGATATGTACTCTAACATACACTAAAAACTTATCAAAAATAAATGTTTAGAACACTGGAAGATATCGAAATATTTGCGTCTTCTTATTTTACCAGTTCCGAATACCCATTTTAAACACTTTTATAAATTCACTCTCCGTTGTTTTCTTCATTGTAAGCCTGATGTATTATATCCCCGCTTGTAAAACGGGAAAAAAGGGGTATATAGTAAAGGAATGTTTGTCCATCCACCCGTCTTTATGTCCGTCCGTGTGTCTAGTTGTACGTCCGTCTGACATGCTCTAGGTTATCCAGTTTTTATCCGCAACCCCTCTTCTACCACTGAATGAAGTTTATTGAAGCTTCACAGAATTTAATGAGTCTTTCACAGAATCTTTGTTTAACAGTGCCAAAGTAAAACTATTTTATTTTTGGATCAGGCACAAACTTTGGGCTCCCTGAGAAAAACATAGATACCACTACTATTTGTAATTGAAAGGCTTATCCATCTCAAATCCGCAATTCCTCCTATACCACTGAATAAGATTTAATGATGCTTTCACAGATTCTTGATTACATTGTGACATAATGAACTTTTATTTTACATTTTGATCTGACACTAATTTCGGGTCTACCAGAGCAAAACTTGTAATTTGTCTTAATTAATCATAAAGAAGGTGTGGTGTATCATTAAAATGAGCTCAGTACCCACAGTACCTCTAGTTTCTCTTCAACCTTTGGAAATACAAATGATATATTGGTAAGAAATCAATTTAACCTTTCTTAGGCATGCTAATGGATAACATCTGGGACGTATATTTTTTTAAGTTGAATTGAATAAGAATTTCTGGGCTATCCGGAACTCGTCAGCTTATTCGTAACTGGTAAAAATGACACCTATGGTAACATGCGTAATAATTTTTTTTAAAGGCAGGATAAATTTTTATGAAACAATAGTTGATTCCACAAGTCATCAAACTACCTTGACAAAACACTTATATTAAATTTTGAAATAATGTCTAGTATATTTATAGTTCCGCCGAATCGGTTTCTTATTCGGAACTGGCCAAACAACTGTACTTGACACCGCTGCATTGCACATGAGCAAAAAACATAAACATACGGCCACATATAATTGAATTTAAATGAAAAATCATATGAATTTTTGGGGAATAAATTGTAGAAAACATGCATCTTAAATCTACTTATCATAAAATACGGTATTAACGACTTGTAATATGCCATCTGATTAAACTCTAAAAGTAAAGGTCTAAGAAAAGAAATGTTTTTGTAAATGTATTTTTCACACATACACACTCTCTTCCTTCCCCACCCCCAGTGTCACCCCTTGGATTTGATACTGGAATAGAGAGAGAACTCGTTACAATA